AATCTATTGCCGGAGGAGCAGTTGTTGAGACCAGGTGGGACACTGAAGAACAAATTTAAGGATGCCATTCATCGGTTGAAACTGAGGTATGGGCTTGGGCGGCCCTTTAAAAAGCTTGAATTAAACCATGTTGAGGCCAATAAATTTGCTCTGATATGGAATGAGGTTGTTTTAGCATTCAGGGAAGAAGATATCATCTCTGACCGTGAGCTTGAGCTACTAGAGTTGCCCCACAATTCTTGGAATGTTAGAGTTATTTGTTGGCCGTCTTTCTTGCTCTGCAATGAGCTGCTGCCTGCTCTCAGCGAGGCCAAGGAGTTGGTGGATGCCCCTGATAAGTGGCTCTGGTATAAGATATGCAAGAATGAGTACAGGCGTTGTGCTGTGATTGAAACTTATGATAGTGTCAGGCATTTAATGCTTGAAATCATCAAAGTTAACACTGAAGAGCATTCAATTTTCACAGTTTTGTTTCAAGAAATTGATCATTCTATTCAGGTTGGGAAGTTTACTAGGACTTTCAAAATGACAGCGCTGTCTCAGATTCATACCAAAGTGATAAAACTTGTTGAGCTTTTGGCAAAGCCCAAAAAGGATGTGAACCAGCTTGTGAATGCCTTGCAGGCCCTTTATGAGATTGTTATTCGTGATTTTTTCGAAGAGAATAAGAGCATTGGACAGCTGAAGGAGGAAGGGTTGGCTCCTCAAAATCCAGATGCCATGGCAGGTCTTCTGTTTGAAAATGCTATTCAGTTGCCCGATCCTAGTAATGAGAATTTCTATCGACAGCTGAGGCGCTTACACACAATCCTCACCTCCAGGGACTCAATGCACAATATTCCTGCTAACCTTGAGGCAAGACGTCGAATTGCATTCTTTAGCAACTCACTGTTTATGAATATGCCTCATGCTCCCCAAGTTGAGAAGATGATGGCCTTTAGCGTTCTCACCCCTTACTATAATGAAGAAGTCTTGTACAGCAAAGAACAGCTTCGGACTGAGAATGAAGATGGGATTTCCATCTTGTATTATTTGCAGACAATTTATGATGATGAGTGGAAAAATTTTATGGAGAGATTGCGTCGAGAGGGAATGGCAAAGGATGATGAGATATGGACTACAAGATTAAGGGACTTGAGGCTCTGGGCATCATACAGAGGCCAGACACTTGCCCGCACAGTCAGGGGAATGATGTACTATTATCGAGCTCTAAAGTTGCAGGCTTTTCTTGATTCTGTCTCAGATATGGATATTTGGAAAGGGGAACGAGAACTGGGTTCAATGAGGAGAGATGGCAGTTTTGAGGGTTACAACTCTGAGAGGTCATCTTCTTCCAGAAGTTTAAGCAGAGCAAGTAGTTCAGTTGGTTTTCTATTTAAAGGCCATGAGTATGGGACTGCTTTGATGAAATACACTTATGTGGTTGCTTGCCAAATATATGGAGCTCAGAAGGCTAAAAAGGATCCACATGCTGAGGAAATCTTGTATTTGATGAAACAAAATGAAGCACTTCGAGTTGCCTATGTTGATGAGGTTTTGACAGGGAGGGATGAGAGGGACTATTACTCTGTACTTGTAAAATATGATCAGCAATTACAGATGGAAGTGGAAATCTACCGTGTCAAGCTGCCTGGTCCTTTGAAGCTTGGTGAGGGTAAACCAGAGAACCAGAACCATGCTCTTATCTTCACACGTGGTGATGCTGTACAAACCATTGATATGAACCAAGATAACTATTTTGAGGAGGCACTGAAAATGCGAAATCTATTGGAAGAATACAGGCACTACTATGGTATCCGGAAGCCAACCATATTGGGAGTGAGGGAACACATTTTTACTGGTTCTGTTTCATCACTTGCTTGGTTTATGTCAGCCCAAGAAACGAGTTTTGTTACCCTGGGGCAGCGTGTCTTGGCAAATCCTTTGAAAGTCAGAATGCATTATGGCCATCCAGATGTCTTTGACAGGTTTTGGTTTCTGAGTCGGGGTGGCATTAGTAAAGCTTCTCGAGTTATTAACATTAGTGAGGACATTTTTGCTGGCTTCAATTGCACATTGCGAGGAGGCAATGTCACACACCATGAATACATCCAAGTTGGAAAGGGAAGGGATGTTGGATTGAACCAAATATCCATGTTTGAAGCCAAGGTTGCCAGTGGAAATGGTGAGCAAGTTCTCAGCAGAGATGTATATAGATTGGGTCATAGACTGGACTTCTTTCGCATGTTATCATTCTTTTACACTACTGTGGGATTCTTTTTCAATACGATGATGGTCATCCTCACTGTATATGCATTTTTGTGGGGCCGACTTTATCTGGCCCTAAGTGGTGTTGAGGGTTTTCCTTTGGCCAACAGCAACAACAATGCAGCACTTGGTGCCATCTTAAATCAACAGTTTATAATCCAACTTGGTCTATTCACTGCTCTTCCAATGATAGTGGAGAATTCTCTTGAGCATGGGTTTCTTCAAGCTATCTGGGATTTCTTGACAATGCAGCTTCAGCTTTCATCAGTTTTCTACACATTCTCCATGGGCACCCGTACTCACTTCTTTGGACGGACTATCCTTCATGGTGGTGCTAAGTATCGAGCAACTGGGCAAGGTTTTGTTGTGCAGCACAAGAGTTTTGCAGAGAATTACAGACTGTATGCACGCAGCCATTTTATAAAGGCAATTGAGCTTGGTTTGATCCTTGCAGTGTATGCATCTCATAGCCCTGTTGCAAAGGACACATTTGTGTACATAGCCATGACCATCTCGAGTTGGTTTCTGGTCATTTCATGGATAATGGCCCCTTTTGTGTTCAATCCTTCAGGGTTTGATTGGCTGAAGACTGTCTATGACTTTGATGATTTCATGAACTGGATTTGGTACTGTGGTGGTGTGTTTGCCAAGGCTGAAGAGAGCTGGGAGAGTTGGTGGAATGAGGAGCAGGATCATCTAAGGACAACTGGCCTCTGGGGAAAGCTACTGGAGATTATTTTAGACCTTCGCTTTTTCTTTTTCCAGTATGGCATTGTATATCAGTTAGGTATTGCTGCTGATAGTACCAGTGTAGCTGTTTACTTGCTGTCTTGGATATATGTTCTTGTGGCTTTTGGGATCTATCTGCTGATATCATATGCTCGGGACAAATATGGAGCGAAAGAACACATATACTATCGGCTGGTTCAATTCCTAGTTATCATACTTGCAATACTTGTTATTATTGCCTTGCTAGAGTTTACTGCATTCAAATTTGTTGGTCTTTTCACAAGTTTACTGGCTTTTATCCCTACTGGCTGGGGCCTGTTATTGATTGCTCAAGTATTCCGACCCTTTCTACAATCTACTAGACTTTGGAACTCAGTGGTCTCTGTTGCTCGTCTATATGAGATAATGTTTGGAGTGATAGTTATGGCCCCAGTGGCATTTTTGGCATGGATGCCTGGGTTCCAGTCTATGCAGACAAGAATTCTATTCAATGAAGCCTTTAGCAGGGGCCTAAGGATATTCCAGATTGTTACAGGAAAGAAATCTAAGGGTGACTTGTAATTGAGGTAATATTTTGTTCATGGTTTTTGCATTATGCTTTGCTTGATGGTATCCAGATACTGGAACATCATGTTGTTCAATGGGTTCACTATTATTATGGTTTGCCTCTACATGATTTTTAATTCTTTTCAATTCTATCGAGATGATTTTGAAGATGATGCCTTTTCTTACCAATGTTGAATAGTAGATAAATTTTGTGATCACTTTTCTATGGCTTGCTTCTAGATAATTGCCTTGTAATGTTATGATTCTGTTTTATTTTATCTATCTGGTTTATTTCATTCTAACAAATGCTTTTTATGGACATGGCAAATTCATTACGTGGTGAACATGAAGAACTGGAGTTTTTAGGTTGTTTTTATTGCTATGGAAATAATGGTTATCTAACTTCTAGCTGATAAATTTCAACACTTGTCCAATAAATGATGTACTATGATTACTTTAGAGAGTGATTAATTGCACAACCATATTACCTCTCAACATGGTTACTAGTTAATGCCATCTGGTAAGCTTTTGGAGGATGCTTGAAGGCAATGGTTTCCTCCTTCATGTTCCATCTTCACTGATGTTTTTGAGTCCTTCACCTTGCAGTGTTTGATGATAAGAAGTCCATACTCTGATCACAATTTTGCTCCTAGGATTTTTTTTAACTTAATTACCTAACTGATTACATTGTCCTAACAAATGATCATGTGTTTTTGTATGGCAAATCCTAAAAACAGGAATGCATAGAGTATAAAGAGAATGGTTATCCTTTTAGTTGGTCAATCTGTGTTTATAGGAGTTTGTTGAAGTTCAGAATGCTTAAATCCAATTTTGAGCATTTCCTTTAGTGATTTCAGTGTAACAGATTGTACTTTGTATTGTATTAAGAACGGACATTAGTTAGGATGTTTTTTTAAGGGGTTGATGC